CTAACGCTCTACCACTTGAGCTACAGCGCCATTTCCAGCTTTTTCTGCTTATGGAGTGCTGAGGAATCGAACCCAGGGCCTCATGCATGCAAGGCAAGCACTCTACCACTGAGCTACCTTTCCAGCCCCAATTATTCTTGTTACTCCATTTCTTGTTTTTCTTTTAGTGCCAGTATTGGGGCTTGAACTCAGGACCTCACATCCTTTTTTTTCCCCCTAAATGATTCTTTATTGAAATTAAGTATTGCATAAATTTCACAGTACTATGGCATAGTTATATTTAGCTAACGTCACAAATACCTTTTACCTTTCACAATAATAATCATCATTATCTTAATCTACAAAGCTTATGAACTCTAGGAACTTTAACTAAAAACTAGTTCTACTAAATCGAATAATATGTACATTTCTTTCCTTTTGCTTCGTGTCAGCTGTTCCTTCTTTCTCTCTCATTCTCTCTCTCCCATCATTGCCCTTGAGTTGCTTAGTTCACTTTCATTAATGTCCAGTGCAGCTGATGGGTGCCTATGCTGTATTTTTTCACTTGTTTTCCTCTGATTTTGTGCCTTTCTCCCAGCTTCCCTCATATGTGCACGTGCACATGTATACACCATATATGAGGTAAAAAAAAAAAAAGTCATCAACAAATTTAGAAGAGAGGACCTCATATTCTTGCTTGGCCTTTTCTGCTCAAGGTTAGCACTCTACCACTTGAGCCAAATCTTTACTTCCAGATTTTTGCTAGTTAACTGGAGATAAGAGCCTGGCAGACTTTTCTTCCTTGGTAGCTTTGAACCTTGACCTTCAGATCTTACCTTTTGAGTAGCCAAGATTACAGTTGTGAGCCACTGGCACCTGGCCTCTATCAACTCTTCCCCCGCCCGCATGCCCCCTTCTCCCCCCACCTCCAGGCAGTGTCTTGCTGTGTAGGCCATGTCTCTCTTAAACTTCCCATTTCCTGTTTCAGAGTCTTGAGTTATGGAATTATGAATGTACAGCAACCAATACACTGGGCATTCAGTTCTCTATTTAATGTAGAGAGGAATTCCACAAAGTTATGTATAATACAGACTTGGTGGCCCACTTGTATCCCAGAACTCATGAGGTTGAGGCTGAAGGATTGACAGTTTGAGGCCAGCCTAGGCTACACAGTGAGACCTTGCGCACCCCTCAAAAAAAAAAAAGGGTGAGAACTTTATATTGACTATTACTGTGGTCCATCAGTAAGTATAAAGAGATTCGTTCTAGTAGTATTAGTATAGATGATTAGTGCCATTTTTGTCTTCATCAGTTCACCAAAAAACTCAAGAAGGTTCAGCAATTGAAATGACTCCAATTGAAGCAGATTTCTCCTGGCAAAAGAAGACAACACAACTTGAGATGGAAACTCAAGAGGCTTTTTTGCGATTTATGGCATCTATTTTAAAAGGGTATAGAACATATCTCAGACCAATTACAGAGGCTCCTTCAAATAAAGCCACAGCTGTAGATTCATTGTTTGATCGACAAGGTGAGTAGCATTGAAAATGCAGTTATTTTTAATTGAAGTAAAGGACACGTTCTACTTAGTATTTCTTTCTTTTTTAAAAATGTTTTTAAAATTGTTATTGTAAAGTAAGTATTGTAAGTCAGGTAAAGAATACTTTTGTTTTTTAAATGTTACCCCTTCCCTCATCTATTTAGTTTTTTGTTTGTTTGTTTGTTTTGCCAGTCCTGGGGTTTGAACTCAGGGCTTAGGCTCTGTCCCTGAGCCTCTCTGTGCCCAAGGTTAGCACTCTCCGTACTACTTGAGCCCCAGCACCACTTCCTGCTTTTTCTGTTAATGTGGTACTGAGGGTTTCATGCATGCTAGGCAAGCACTTTACCACTAAGCCATATTCCCAGCCTGTTTTTGTTTTTACTAATTCTGGGGCTTGAACTCTGGGCCTGGGTACAGTCCTTGAGCGCTTTTTTTTCTTTTGGTCGGTCTTGGGGCTTGAACTCTGGGCCTGGGCACTGCCCTTGAGCTCTTCAGCTCAAGGCAGTGCTCTACCACTTGAGCCACAGTGCCACTTCCAGTTGTCTGGTGGTTAATTGGAGATAAGAGTTTCACAGACTTTCCTTGCCCCTGGGCTGGCTTTGAACCATGATCCTCAGATCTCAGTCTCCTGAGTAGCTAGGATTACAGGGTGAGCCACCCGCGCCTAGCTCTTTTGCTCAAAGCCAGTTCTCTACCACTTGAGCCACAGTTCCATTTCCTGTTTTTTTCTGTGATTAATTGGAGGTAAGAGTCTCACAGATTTTGTAGCTGTGCTGGCTTTAAACTGTGATGCTCAGATCTCAGCCTGCTGAGTAATACTTAGTATTTTTATGAAGAAACATTCACAGCAGGTTTAAGAAATTGTATTAAAATATAATAGATTTCTGTGTATTTGTAATCCAACTCTGAATAATTTATTTTTAAATTTTTCTGAAAAATTTGAAAGTGGAGGCTTTATTAAAAAAATCAAATTGGGGACAAATTGGGGAAGAACAATGGACAGATGACTTTGGTCAAGATACATTGTACTTATAAACTGATGCATTGAATTGAATTCCCCTTCTACAACTATTTAAAGATAATAAAAGAAAATGCCATATAGTCAGTTATCTTAGTTAAAGCTATTGATTTGCCTTTGTTTCCTTAGTTTTGTAGTTTTTGGCTTTGAAAGATTCCTGAGGTGCTGGGAAGGTGGCTCAGTGGTAGAGTGCTTGCCTTCCATGAATGAGGCCCTGGGTTCGATTCCTCAGCACCACATAAGCAAAAGAAAAAAGCCGGAAGTGGCACTGTGGCTCAAGTGGTAGAGCGCTAGCCTTGAGCTGAAGAGCTGAGGGACAGCACCCAGGCCCAAAGTTCAGGCCCCACGACCGGACCCCAAAAAAACAAAAAACAAAAATATCCAAGAGTCTCACAGACTTTCATGTCTGGACTGGCTTTGAATCGTGATTCTCAGATCTCAGACTCCTGAGTAGCTAGGATTACAGGCATGAGACACCAGTGCCTGGCTCAAAAGCTATTTCTTTAAAAAATAAACATAATATTTTACCACGTAATGCTTTTGCCTTTTATAATTTCTGCTTCAGGATAACTTACTCAAATATTTAGTCACCATTAGATTCATTATTATGCAGGGGTATAAAGAAATTTGAGTATAAAATAATTAAAATGGAGAATAATCTAAAAATCAAAAGTAGAACAAATACTGAAAACAATTTATGCACAATAATTCAGAAGTGTCAAAATTCAGAAAATTCAAAATATTCTTCCAAATGGGTATTTTGTACAACTTCACTGGGAAGAGCATAAGTTTGGCGAATGGGAAGAGATTTAAGCTAGAGAAGACCAGGAAACATCTTAAAATACTTCTCAGGCAATAAGGATCAGATCTGAATTAGGATCTCTGCTTGGTCATTTATAAAATCTTTCTAGCATCATGCTTTCATGTTAAGATGGGAATATAACTTTATAGTTTGTACAGAGTAAATAAGAAAATTCATATGAAAAAAGTAGCCAATGTACTTTAAAATATTATAATAGCTAGGTTTCGAGGCTCATGCCTATCATCATAGCTACTCTGGAAGTGAGATCTGAGGATCTCAATTTGAAGCTAGCCTGGGGCAGACAAGTTTGTGAGACTCTTATCTCCAATTATCACAAAAAAGCTGGAAGTGGATCTGTGGCTCCAGTGGTAGAGCACCATATCCTTCAGCAAAAAAAGGTAGGGGAGGTCTGGGAAGGTGACTCAGTGGTAGAGCGCTTCCCTTGCATGCCTGAGGCCCTGGGTTCGATTCCTCAGCACCACATAAGCAAAAAGAAAAAAAGCCGGAAGTGGTGCTGTAGCTCAAGTGGTAGAGTGCTAGCCTAGAGCTGAAGAGCTGAGGGACAGCACCCTGGCCCAGAGTTCAGGCCCCACGACTGGATCCAAAAAAAAAAAAAAAAAAGGAATATAGTAGGGTTGCTGTCATAAGTGCTTCTGATCTGTCTGTAGAACATTTTTTCTTCATGTGTCTAGTCATCCAGGTTCAAATTCAGAAAAAGTAGGCTTTCTATTCCTCCAGAACTGGGTTATGCTGGTAGGTTTGAAGGGGGAAAAAGGGGACAAAAGATAGTTGACTAACTGAAATATATACCAGATAGACAGAAAAGTGATAATTGAAAGGAAGGGGTAGATAAAAGGTCAAATGGTCATTAATTGGAGGTTTTAATGAGTTTACTCCCCTTCCCTCAATACCCCTTACCTTTGCCCAAAATAAAAACAAACAAAAAATTGGTAGAAGTAAATTAACGTTTTAGAAGCAAACCAAATAGATGAGAATAATGGAGTGAGAGTGATAGGAAAATTAAGAGATTTAGGAGACAGAGCGGTTTCAGTAATGATGAGGAAAATGTAAAGAATGTGACTATATAGAAGTTGGAGAATGAGGTGAGATAGATCGTAGGATCACTGAAGTCATGGAATTAAGAGCCTAGAGTATTCCATGATTTGTGTGTTGGTAAGCTTTTTGTCATTATGACAGAATACTTGAGAAAACAACTTAAAAGGGAAAAAATTCATTTTGACTTGTTTTAGCCCATAGTCAGGTGGTTTCATTGCTTTTAGGCATGTGGCAAAGTGGAATAAACATGGACATGGCAAAAGAAAACTGCTCAAATTAATGGCATCGGGAAGCAGAAAGAAAGACAAGAAAGGGCATGGGGCTGGGAAGGTGGCTCAGTGGTAGGGCGCTTGCCTTGCATGCATGAGGCCCTGGGTTCGATTCCTCAGCACCACATAAGCAAAAAGAAAAAAGCTGGAAGTGATACTGTGGCTCAAGTGGTAGAGCACTAGCCTTGAGCTGAAGAGCTGAGGGACAGCGCCCAAGCCCAGAGTTCAGGCCCCACGACCGGACCCAAAAAAAAAAAAAAAGAAAGGGCAATATACACCCTTAGAAGACAAGCTTCCATGGCCTATTCTTTTCACCCAGGTCCAACCTCCTAATAGTTTATTTAGTGTGAAGTTTATTGATGAAGCTAGTGTCCTCATGATCCAATCACTATTTTTATGGTACTAGAGATTAAACCCAGGACCTCAAGCATGCTTAGCAAGCTTTCTTCTACTTGAGCCACATTGTCAACCACGATCACTTCTCAACAGCATCACAAGTTGGGGACCAAGCTTTTAACAGATGTGCCTTTTATGGGACACTTCATATTCAAACTATAATAGTATGTACGATTGTTGTCACTTTGAATCAAGTGCCCTTTTCTTCCTGAATGAAGGGAAAATGTTCCCGATGTCAGTATATGACTATATGATCAATAGGGAGAAGAGTGGATTAGGCAGATGCCTGAACTTCAGCTGAACATCAGACATGTAATGACTTTCAGAGGAAGGTCATTGACTCTTTGCTGTAGTGTATCAGAAGCTAAGAGAAGTGGCTCAAGCCTCAAGCCTATAATTGTAACTAATTAAGAGACAGAGATGGGAGATTACAGTTTGAAACTAACTCAGGAACGAGTTTCCATAGTGGGAACCCAAAACTAAGTGAAAAGTTTAATCATTTTAAATGCTTCTTTTTCATGAGTGAATCATGCAGACCAGACCTACATATTGTTAATAGAAATTTTTATAAATATTTGTGTATTTGTGTAAAGAGAATGTAATGTAGATGAACATTAAAACAATGTTTAAATATAGGTCTACTTTAAAATGGGAATTTTATTCTTACTCTGTTTGCTTTTCAGGATTTTTAAAAAGCCGAGACCGTGCCTATACAAAGTTCTATACCCTTTTATCCAAAACACAGATTTTTATTCGTTTTATTGAAGAATGTAGTTTTGTAAGTGATAAAGATACTGGATTGGCATTTTTTGATGATTGCATAGAGAAGGTAAGTTTGTCCTATATTAAGAAAAAACATCTGGGTGCTGGTGGCTCACGCCTGTAATCCTAGCTACTCAGGAGGCTGAGATCTGAAGATCACGGTTCAAAGATAGCCCGGGCAGGAAAGTCTGTGAGACTCTTTATCTCCAATAAACTACTAGAAAACTGGAAATGGTGCTGTGGCTCAAGTGGTAGAGCACTTGCCTTGAGCTGAAGAGCTGAGGGACAGCGCCCAAGCCCTGAGTTCAAGCCCCACTGCCGACAAAAAAAAAAGAAAGAAAAAAGAAAAGAAAAAAACAGCTTGGGACTGGTAGTTCATGCCTAAAATCTTACCAACTCAGAAGGCTGAGCTTTGAGGATTTTAGTTTGTAGCCAGCTGGGGTAGAAAAGGCCTCATGAGTCGCTTTACTCCAGTTAACTGCTGAAGGTGATAGAGCACTAGCTTTGAGCAGAAGAACTCAGGGACAGTGCCCCACATGACCCCCCCCCCAAAAAAAAAAGAAAAAGTTTGGCACACATTCAATTTTTTTTTAATGATTCACTTTTGTAGTTTTCCTGTCTTACCACATACTTTTTGTTAATTATTGTAGTTGTTGTCTTGAAGGTATTTGGAAGTATGTTAGAATAGAAAGCTTTTCCTAAAGTATGTGTGTGCGCACATGCATACACACGTGTGTTTGTGATCAGGCTCGAGCACAAGTGTTTTAGAGGTTGTTTTTATCTGGGTTAAATTCAGGACTTCATGCTGCCTAGACACAGACACGTGCTCTACCACTTGACCCATGTTTCTAGCTTGATGTTTAACAGTGATATTACTTATATATGTCTAATTTTTTGTTTTGTGTTGGTTTTGAGGTTTGAACTCAGGGCTTTTGTGCTCAAGGCTAGCATTCTTCTGCTTGACCAACAATTCCACTTTTTTTCTCTTTTTTTGGTGGTTAATTGGATATAGAGTCAGATTTTCCTGCTGAGGCTGGCATCAAATAGTGATCCTCAGATCTCAGTCTCCTGTAGTCCTTGCTGTATCTTACACTTGAGCTTTTGCTCACTGGCTAGAGCTTTATGACTGCCAAACCCCTGTTTTTCTAATTAATAGGCTTCTTAGTTTTGCTAAGCAGATCTTGGGCTTGATTTTTTTTTGGGGGGGTCCAGTCATGGGGCCTGAACTTAGAGCCTGAGCGCTGTCCCTCAGCTCTTCAGCTCAAGGCTAGCCCTCTACCACTTGAGCCACAGTGCCACTTCCGGCTTTTTTCTTTTTGCTTATGTGGTACTGAGGAATTGAACCCAGGGCCTCAAGCATGCAAGGCAAGTGCTCTACCACTGAGCCACCTTCCCAGCCCTTGGGCTTGATTTTTTAATACAAACTATAAAATTTGAGATTGTGTCCATAAAAAGCAGAATATTACTATATTTCATTTTTTTGTGAGCCCTTGTGTTGCAGAAGACTGGAATAATTTGTTCTTGACTTTCATTAATATGATATAAAACTTCAAGGATGTGAATAAAACTTTATGCTGGTCCTGGGATTTGAAGCTCAGGGCCTAGGTGATGTCCTTGAGCTTCTTTTTTTTGGCTCAAGGCAAGTGCTCTTCCACTTGAGCCATATCTCCTCTTCTAGAACTTTAAGATTTTTGTTTATAAAATTGATGTTCTGGGCTGAGAAGGTGGCTCAGTGGTACAGTGCTTGTCTCACATGCATGAGGCCCTGGGTTCGATTCCTCAGCAACGCATAAACAGAAAAGGCCAGAAGTGGCACTGTGGCTCAAGTGGTAGAGTGTTAGCCTTGAGCTGAAGAGCTAAGGGACAGTGCCCAGGCGGAGTTCAAGCAAACGACTGACAAAATATCAAATACAATAAATGTTCTAATATTTACTTAGGTGAGTTAGATAATTTCAGTCACTAACACAGTTCAGTAATAGTTTTTTTTTAACTTGGGAAGTCAAATTCTCTTATTAAATTAATTATTTTTATTTATAAATAAGGTTTAGTGAAAGAACTATTCAAGTCTGGGCCAGATGGCACTGCCTAAAATCTCAGCAGGAAGAGTGAGTTTGAGGCCTACCTGGTCTACATAGAAAGTTTTAGTTTTGTGTTTTGTTTTTGTTGGTCAGTTGTGGACATTGAACTCTGGACCTGGTTGCTGCCCCTCAGCTCTTCAGCTCAAGGCGATCACTCTACCACTTGAGCCACAGTGTCACTTCCAGTTTTCTGGTAGTTAATTGTAGATAAAGAGTCTCATAGCCTTTCCTGCCCAGGTTGGCTTTGAACTGTGATCCTCACATCGCAGCTTCTTAAGTAGCTAGGATTACAGGCGTGAGCCACTAGTGCCCAGCTAGAGAGTTCTAGTTTAGCTAGTAAGACCCTGTTGATAAAAACAAAAGAAAAAAGTGATCAAAATAAAGCACTTTGTAGGGTTTTTTTTGTTTGTTTGGGTTTGTTTTTTTTTGAAGGTTAGTGTCTAACAACCCAGAGCCTTGTTTTTTTTTTTTTTTTTTTCATTGTGGGGCTTGAACTCTGGGCCTGGGCCTGGGCCCTTAGCTCTTGGAGCTCAAGGTGAGGAGCTGTACCCCTTGAGCCACAGCACCACTTCTGGTTTTCTGAGTGATTTATTGGAGATAGGAGTTTCACAGAGTTTTCCTGCACAGGCTGGCTTTGACCCGTGATCCTCAGATCTCAGCCTCTTAGGTAGCTAGGACTACAGGTGTGAGCCACTGACACCTGGCCAGAGCCTTGTTTTTGAGATAGAGTCCTTTGGTACTTTTTCCCTGGCCGGCCTTGAATTCACCATTACCCTGTATAGCTGAACTTCTGTGTATCACCATGTCAGAGTGTATTTTCTATTATGTATAAGATATATATGTCTTAACTTAGAACTACAAGACTTAAAATTATGTTGTGAAATTTTTATATCTGCTACTGAAAAAAATCAGAATTTCAGAAAAAGTCTGTTATTAAATTCACTGTGGAGATTTTCATTAAAAATCTTTTTTTCCTTTTCCAGTTGTTTCCTGATAAAGGCATAGAGAAAACAGATAAGGTATTTTTTCTTTAGTGTTAATAACAAAATAAAGAGTAAATTTAAATTTATGTGTTGAAATTTCAGAATTAGATCTTACATGCACATTAATTATTTTCAGGTTGATTTGGATTCAGCAGAAGATACCAAATTAATAGAATTAGATGATTCACAGAAAAGTGAGCACACTGTATTTATAATGCCACCTGAGCCACCTCCTGACGATGGAAAGGACCTGTCACCAAAGTACAGGTAGCAGAATTTTTGTAATGAGCTAACTGGATAGTTTACTTCAACTTTTTTCCATTATTGGTAGAGATTCATGGCTGGGCACTGGTAGCTCACGCCTGTAATCCTAGCTATTCAGGAGGCTGAGAACTGAGGATCTTGGTTCAAAGACAGCCCAGGCAGGAAACTCTATGAGACTCTTATCTCCAGTTAACTACCAGAAAACCAGAAGTGACGCTGTGGCTCAAGTGGTAGGGTGCTCGCCTTGAGCTGAAGAGCTGAGGGACAGTGCTCAGGCCTAGAGTTCAATCTCCACAACTGACCCCCCCAAAAAAAATTATAAAAGAAAATAGATGTTCATCTTTGTGATTTTTGAAGTTTCAGTATTACTTCAGTGAACTAATAAAGATGAATTTTATATGGAGAGGCCTTATAATTTAAGAACTATATGGCTTTGTTGTAAGGAAAGCCAGATATTGATCATTATTTTCCTAGATGTTTAATTTATTTGAATCTTACAAATTTCTCAGTTACGAAGAAGAAAAATATTTTAACTTTTTGTGAGAATCTCCTTTTGGGAGTTTTACTGTTAATATAAACTGTGAAATACTTTGTGTGTCTGTGCTTGTACTTATTTGGCTTTTTCACTCAAGGTTGTACTTTACTACTTGAACCACAGTACTACTGTGAAATTACCAAAGTTACTGTAAATTAACAAAATCAAGAAAATTTAAAGGATTAGGTCTGAGTAATGGGACTCAGGCCTGTTGGTGTCTCATCCTTTTATAATCCTAGGTCCTTAGGAAACTGAGATTAGGAGGATTGCAGTTCAGTGGCAGCCTAGGCAAACATTTCTTATCAACTGAGTAGCTGGGTGTGGTGGTACTTACTAGTCATCTCAGTATCAAGGGCTGAAATTGGGAGAATTGTGGCTCTAAGCTAGCCCCAAAGAAACTTCCATGAGACTCCATCTCAGTCTAAGAAGCTAGGTGTGTTGGCATGTACTTGTCATCCCAGCTATGACTGCAAGCATAAAAGAGGTAGATTGTGGCTCAGGTAATACATACCCATGCAAAAAGGATGCCATATTAAAAAAAAAAAACAACCAGTATAAAGAAGTGCTGTAGGGATGGTTCAGTGCTGTAGGGATGGTCCAATGTGCAGAAGACTTGAGTTTAAACCCTAGTTCCACAGACAAACAAAGAGGGAGAGAGAGAAGGGAGGGAACAAGGGAAGGAGGGAGGGGAAGGGAAAAAGAAAGGGAGAAGGTAAGAGAGGGAGGAAGAGAGAAAAGAAGGAAGAAAGAGGGTTGATAAAAAAAATAGAGAAATAGAAATCATTGCTAAATCTAAAAGAATAGGATTTGGATGAAAATTTGTTAAGAAACTAGAATGAGTTTGATATTGTTTATTATTATAAGCATGCTAATACACAGTTTACAAAATGTAATCAAGCAAAAAAAACATACATCATTTTAATACCAATACTTACATCTGATAATAACTTTATATATGCATGTCTATATTGTATGGATAAATTCACTTCATACATTTTTTGTAACCTGTTTGCCTTTAATAGTCATAACATTTTTCCATGCTGTGAAATTTTTTGCCTTATGATTTTTAATTGTTGCATGTAATCACTATACATTAGTTTCCTGTTCATTTGTTTGCAATTCTGTGCTATTTATATTTTTGTGGACATATGTAGTTACTTTGTGGGGAACTATATTCCTAAAAAAAATTCTGAAAAGAATGGGCTGGGAAGGTGGCTCAGTTGTAGAGCACTTGCCTTGCATGCTCGAGGCTCTGGGTTCGATTCCTCAGCACCACATAAGCAAAAAGAAAAAAGCCGGAAGTGGCGCTGTGGCTCAAGTGGTAGAGCACTAGC